ATGATTATTTTTGCTGTCACTTCATAACTATAATCTTGCTAATGTTGTGAACTGTAATGTGAATATCTGATATGCAGGATACATTTACATCTTTGCAAACTGACCCCAGGGGGTCAAAACCATAAATTGAGAAATGCCTATTTATGCTCATTACAAATCCTCCATCACCTTACAAAATACAATGTGAGAGCAAAACCTGGTGATGCATGACTATAATCCAAATACCTGGGAAGCAAAGACAGAAAGAAGAAATGAAAGATTGAGGTCAGCCTGATCTACATTGTAAGTCCTGGGTTAACCATGATACTTAATAAAATCCTATCACAAAAACTTCATAATCGTCATTATCATTGTAAATAAAAATGAATGAATGAAAGAAAAAAGAGAGAGGTAGTAAGGGGAGAGGAGGGGTGAATGGAAGAGGGAGAGTAGAATGAGGAGGAGGAAGATAAACTAGAATCTACTGTCTACATTGACCGAGAATATAGTCATTACTCTTCACCTGTGATGTTGCCTGTGACCTTTTTAGATAATTGTTTCTATTTCTGGTTGTGATGACACCTCATCAGCTGCCATAGTTCAGTGCTTGCGTGAGAAGTCAGAGCATGAGATCTTGGAGATCACAGCACAACTGATACAGGTGTGTATCATTTCTAGTCACAACTATCCTGTGTCCTTGGCCCAAAACTCTATTGCTTTTGCTGTTCTTGCTCTGGATAGACTGTAATAGAACAATTTTGTAGCTCTTGGGAAAAAATGTCAAGCTCCTGTCTCCAACTGGGAATTTCAGTTCCTATTATAAAACACCTTGTATGTCAAAAATTAGTTCAGTTAAATATACCATGATGAAGAACTGCATGAATATCTTTCAGAACTATCAAAGCTTGGTTATTGAACATTACTGTCACATTTTCATGAATAAGACATTCTTAGTCCTAAAACCAAAAACTACTATCATGGATTTCAGGGATATTCAATTAGGAGTTTTTCAGAAAAGTGTCACATTATCTATTGGTTGATATAGAAATTAAGTCATAACAGAGTAGTAGCCAACTTCTCTGCAGTGTATGACATGTTGACTCAGTGATGGTCCTAGGAAAGCCGTCTATTTCCCTGTCCATTCATCTATCGTGTTCTGATGCATTCATTCATGCTACCAACCATCCCATTCATTCATATGTTTTCATCAACTGGGTAGAAATATATCCATAATTTTCTTACTACATTTTCAGTATGACCCCCATTCATGACTGATCTGATAAACACATATTTTTCAGTCCTTCAACCATCCAAACAATGGATCATTCTTTACCTGAGAAAAAAGGTTTTTGTCTGTTTGTCAATATATACATACCACTCACCAATTGCATTATTTTGTATTTTTGATATTATCATTACATTACTCCTGTTGCTTTCCTCCTGTCAAATTCAAAGGCAATGAGGAAGAAGCAGGCTTAAGGAAGTCACCAAGATGGGAGGGCCTGCTTCAGCTAAGCAGGTTGGACTATGAATCAACATGAGACATGATCAGTGAGCTCTGAACACTGGTCTTTTTCATTTTAATGTCTTGGATTTATTTGTTGTTTGGAGACAGGGTCCTACTCTGTAGTCTAGAAATTTGTGATATGCCTGTGTCAACCTCCCAAATTTGCAGGTATAAACCTTAACAATAAGTACAATGAAGAAATGCACTATACAAACAAAGGCCTGGGAAGGTGGAAAGAGATTGATGGGAAGACTTTGCACTGCAGTGGTTGGGTCTTTACACTGCAGGCATTCTGTATCATACCAGGGACTGAGGGTGATGAGATGTGACTGGAGTGTAGGAAACTTTGAAGGAATTTCCGACCGGGCTTGGAGATAAGTTGGTTATGGGGCATGATATAAACAGAAGAGAAGATGCCTTTGACTTCCCTGACTCAAGAGGGCAAAGCATGTGGCCTCCACATGCAGCTATCAGTATTCCTGGGCAGCAGTGGCCCTTCTGTGAGTCTGATGATTACAGATGCCAGTGTCTTCCTTTGACTCCCAGATGCCCATTCATGCAGGCCCATTCTGTCTGTCTGCCTGAAATCTTCTGCCTCTGCTTTCCCTTCTTACTGCCTTTGCTCCTTGAGAACAAAAGCCATTTCCCTTCTTAAAAGCCAGACTTTGCTTACAGGATTTCGTCCATTCCTTGCATTGAGATAGTGTCCTCCCCTCAAACAGCTTTGAGCTCCAGGAAGGTGCCACCTATAGTTCTGCTCTACTTTCCTTTCTGTTGCTCTCTTTAAAACCCTCAGATCTAAAGCAGTTTGATGGAGTAAAGGGTTTACTTGTGTCACAGCTCTCGGCTGTGGTTCATTATTGAGGGAAGACATAAAGCAGGATCTCAAACAGGCCTGTTCACCTAAGGAAATGAGTATAACACAGTCTATGGAGTAAGGCTGCTTGCTAGCTCATGGAAAGACATAAACTTGGCTAGTTTTTTTATATAGCTTAGGACAAAGTTTCCAGGGAATGATGCTGCCCACTGTGGGCAAACAAAACCTTCATCCACAGACATGCTCTCAAAACAGTATGATCCTGACAATTTCCTAATTGTGACTCCCTTCTTATGTATAACTAGGCTGCTAAAGGCTAACTAGGAATATATATCAATGAATTAGGTCTTATTATGAAACATTTCAAACAATTAGTTTTTGTTGTTTTCTGCCTGTCCACTTCTATATTTGTTACCTCACTATTCACAAGAGCAAAGAAATGGAATCACGTGTCTGTCCATAAAGAGAAGAATGGATAATGAAAATGTATTATGCATACACAATGGAATTTTTGTCAAGTGTAAAAAAATGTGCCATATATTTTGCATAAAAAATAATTTCTCTCTGAGACCCCTTCTCTAACACTATCCCAGAGAAGTCTCCCAAGTCCAGGCCACTGTGACTTTCCTCATATGAGCCCTGTACGCAGTCTCCTCGCTCACTTGATCCATTTCCTTCCTACTGCTTAGAAATGCCCACTCTTTTCTTCAGTTCTTTATGGTGTTCGTGCAAACATACCAATCCAGATATCAAAAAGACTGGCTTTGTGAGTCCAGTGTGTCATCTTCCACCAGAAATTAGTTCCTCTCCTGAGATTTAGAATATTCACTCTTCAGTAATTAGCTTTTTCAAGGTGGCAATAGTTATGCCCAGGTGATATTTTCTATTATCAGCCTATGGGAGAAAATCTGGTGCTTGCTGTGGTATCTTATTTCTCTAAATAGAAATAAAGTTTCAGGTCAGTCTCCTCAAGTGATAAGCTCAGTACTTCTCAAAGCCAACTATTTGCAATCAGATGTAGATATGGATAATTACAGGTAATCAGCCCTTATTAATAAGTGTGCATTCTTCCCCCAATTCACTACAATCATTGCATTGCCACTGCTGGCCTCCACCTCACAGTTCTGATCTTGAAGTCTCTTAGGCTCAGTCATTTTCTTTAGGGTTTCAGTGGACATAGCCACAGGAGTCTTTATGCTTAGCAAGCTCTCAGAGAAGCAAAGAGTGTCTGCACCCCTCTTTGATATGGATCAAAGGTAAGGTATGATATTCATAAGTACTGTTTTTCTGTTTTTCCCAGCACAATATCTCACTGTTCACTGTGATTGATGGAGTGGTGCTGCCAAAGGCACCAGAAGAGATCCTGGCTGAGAAAAGTTTCAACACTGTATCCTACATAGTGGGCTTCAACAAGCAAGAGTTTGGCTGGATCATTCCAAAGGTGAGAATATACAGACCTTTTAGATACACTCCACAGAAGCTCAAAAATCATCCTCCCTGTTCTG